TCACGCGCACCCTCTGGTAGGTCAAATCACCCCTCGGCGATTCTATCCGAATCACTCGAGGGCTCGAGGGCTACTGTCGGGGACCGAATACTAGGGTACCCAAAGAGGAGGAGCTAATAACCATCAAATGTTGATTCATCTGCGCGATCAAGAGCGCAACTACACCGCTTGCCAGGACACTCCTCGTCCGTCCATTGAGACCATGGGCCCCGCCCCAAGCTAACTCCTGAGGGATGTCTCCACCTCACCCAGCATCTAAGGGCAGACTCCGCCTCGCCCAACGTCCGAGGGCTGGCTCCTCCACGCCCGACGTCTGAGGGATGGCTCTACCTCGTCCGACGTCCGAGGGCTGGCTCTGCCTCACCCGACGACCGGGGGCTGGCTCCGCCTCGCCCGACATCTGGGTGCAGACTCCGCCTCGCCCGATGTTCGAGGGCTCGCTCTGCCTCGCCCGACGTCTGAGGGTTGGCTTCGCCTCGCCCGATGTCCGAGAGTTGGCTTCGCCTCGCCCGACATCTGAGGATAGGCTCCGCCTCGCCCGCCATCACCCGCCGTCTGAAGGCAGACTCTGCCACGCCCGACATCTGAGGGCAGGCTCCGCCTCGCCCGATGACTGCGCGCTGTTCCTTCATAACTACACGCGCAGATAAGGCAGAGCACTCAAGTCAACTGCAATACCGAGGACCATACCCTGCACTCCTGCAGGAAAGTACTATCAGGATATGACAGGACAGGAGCTTTAAGCCCTTCCAGGCATGTCAGAGCCCGAACAGTGTTGTGGGCGCCGACATTTGTCTTACAGTGTTATGGGCACCGGCATTTACCCTCGGGCACGGATCCTGACGGAAGCATACAACAACCACTACGGTCCAGGAGGAAACTCACATCATCTACAGCAACGAACGTAGGGTCACTGCGCCATCTGCTCCCCGTAGGGTCGCGGTTTAGCACCCTGGTCCATCGCGTCGCACGCTAGGACGGGATGGGACATGACCACTTGCTGACAAAGCCAGTGCACGGCCCTATCACGATCAGCGGACAGACGCCCAGCATGGAGCTGTCCCTAGCATCGTCTGCCGTGTCAGCAGGGCAGAGGAAAAGGAAGACCCGACACCTTCGAAGGACCTTCTTGGCCTCTGGTTTTTCTTCTTTCTCCCATCTGTAATCCATGCTTCCCCTTGGTCTATAAAAGGGAAGGTAGGGCACCTCACTAGAGGGACCGATCAATAGAACACACCACGCATCACATAACACACAGCTGAGCAGCAACCAAGCTCTTAGCGTCCTTTCAACCTTTCCATCAGAGACTTGGGACATGTCCCTCTCTCGCCCGTTTGTAACCCCTACTACGAACCTTTCAGTGCTAATAACATGAGCAGCAGCCGCAAACTGGACGTAGGGACATTCACCCGAACCAGTATAAACCTTGTGTCTTTTAGCACACCATCCGGGTCCAACACGCAATAATACAAATTTACTTGTTGGTGTTTACTCAAAACACCAACAGTACCATTGTTGGCGCTTCTGACAAGATTGAACGCATGCCTATCGCTTAGCTGGTCAGATAACTCGTTCCGACCGCGAAGCCGAGTAGCTCAACACAAGCCTAGCCCCGCTCTGTCAAAGTGCGCACTCTGAATGGTAGTAAGGATGTGCGGGGAGCCAGACGTGAGCCCAAGGGCAGGCAGGGCCTTAACGTCCTGACAGCTGGTTGTCCCTAATTACGCGGCGCTGGGAGAACCTGCGAAATGTGGACTTGAGTTGTACCAAAAGTGACCTAAGGTGACCGTTGATCGGGTCTACCTAGGTTTGTGTTAGGAATAAATTCCCAGCTGGTTGAAATCGATTCGAATCACCGTCTCTCCCGGATAGTGAGAAACTTGGCTAGTCCCAACATCGTAGTAATTGTACTATGGAATGTGATAGTTCGGATAAACATGGAATTACTACACCGGCTATGGTTACTATTGTATGCTCTTAAAATGATATACCACATCTTTGGCACAGGATAGTTGCTAATCTAGAGATGAATAGCTATAATTAACTTGATGACCAAAGTATAATTATATAATTGAGTTAATCGCTTTTTATGCAAAATATTGTCAAGCTACCTCCACTTATAGAGCCTTGCATAATCCTTGGAGTCATTTTATTTCTGGTTTATGACGGGTAAGTCTAGTTGAGTACCTTCTCGTACTCAGGGTTTTATTCCCATTGTTGCATATGGTACCGTCTATCACGGCTATTGTAAGAATTGCTTCTATCCCACCGTGGATGAGGAGTGAGCCTTGGGCAGGCATCTTTAATAACTCTTCTTTATGCTTTTGTCGATTGTGATCATGTGTTGGCACTGTATTTGAACTATGTTTGCAAATGCTACTTTCGAACTTTAATTTGCTTCCGCTACTATCTATCGAACTTGGTTTGTAATAACTTTATCTCGTACTCTGATGAATGAACTGTATCTGTGAACTTTATGTAACATGTGACATGTATGTTGAATCATGTACGATCTTGGTTGTATGTGGATCGTTTATCGAGACCCATCGTGGTACTCGACGGACTACCGGATTTATATGGGCTCAAGTACGACAGTGTGATCGCTTGCAGGCTGCCATTGTACTTGTGCTCTTATAAATTGGACAGTTCTACGACAATAGTTGGATAAAGAGATACCGGCTATTTAATCCTCATAAAGTCAGATCAAATACTGATGTTATAGTGGTATAAAGTTCTCATGGAAGTCGTCAAACTTGACTCTAATGGATACTTTCACTTCTCCGCCCAGTTCGCTTGGGCTTGTTTGGCTTATAAGCCATATTTTTCAGTCAACGAATAATATTTTTCTCTCACACCAAATCAGCCAATAATACTTTCAGCCATGGCTTATCAGCCAAACAAGCCCAAACGAACAAGGCGCTCATTCTGAAGTATTACATTAACATGTATGACTTCATTGAATGGTCACTTTTGATTCCATCGAATCACTAGCCATTATCTTCAAAGATAATGCAACTTGTGTTGCTTGAATGTAAACATGTTATATATGAGCAATATCACTATATTGCCTTATATAAATGTGTTATTCTCACGAAAGTGTGGAGATAAAAACCTTTCAAAATAAATCAAGTGATAACTCCACGAGATTTATTCACAAAGTCCCTACCAATTTCCACATTTCACAATGTGTTATTGAGATTGGTACGCGATGACTTTGAGAGTTGCAAGGTTCAGACTCCTCTTGAAACTATATAACATGTTCAAAACATCATATTGTACTCTTTTTCTCTATGAGTTTTTCCTCACACAGGTTTCTCATAGAAGGTTTTTAATGAGGCAATATCAATACAAGTTTATATGTCATATGTCTTATTTTCCCCACCGGGTTTTTTATATGGAGGTATCTTAGATATATACATGTCATATCTTCTGTTTTCCCCATAGGGGTTTTTTAGAAGGTATCAAAGACATATAATTACAATTATGATCATCAGATCATATTTATAATGTTATCTAAACTTGGTTATGGATTTTTCCTTCCTATGTTTCCCATATAAGTTTACAATAAGACAATAATCAACATATGACATATCATTTTCTCCTTATTTTTCCCATTGGGTTTTTAAGAAGTTTTAATGGCATATCCACACATATTTCTCCTCATTTTTCCCACAGGGTTTTTGGAGAAATTATCCAATACATTGATCTAAGTGATGGATGACGCTATTAATCAAGGGGGAGTGTTGTGAATCACTTTATTAGTGATCAACCGCTCTCTTAGAAGGCACCCCTTTGAAAGTGTCCTTTCACATGTATATATATGTACAATCATGGATCAATGAATGAAAAAGAGTTTCCACTCTCATTTGTCTCTTAGAGTCTCTTGCTTTACATCAAAGACACTTTACGCTAAACAAAATGTCAACGTGGAGGTTGGGGCAATACGCCAGGGTCTAGCGCTCGTGAAGGCCTAAGAAGAAAGTTTGACTAGCGACTATAGTGGTGACGGTGGCAGGTACCATCATTGTGAGGCAAGGTCACTCGGACCAGAGTTGAAGAAGAGCACGACTATTATAGGTGACGGGGTCGCAGGTGGTGACGATAGAGATGCGCTCTAGTCGGGTGGGCAGTAGCCGTGGGAGGGCGGGTGTGAGAGAGAGACAGTATGTGGACGAAGAAAGGCGTGAGTGCAGCAGAAAACTAACACAATAACACATGCTTTGAATTGCGACTGCAATGGTAGAAATGACTTGCGTGAACTTGATCAATCATTTATCCAAATCTACTCTTAGGCTGTGCAAAGCGTGCGTCGTCAGAGATTCATCATCAACAGGTCATGCATGGAGCTGGTCTTGGGTAAGCACTGAGTCATTCCATCTATCAGTTTACCGTCTCAGAGCAGTGATTCGTTCGCGTAAAATAAGTCTCAATGGAGGTGGGGATAGATTCTCGTGGCATCACAAGACGACAACATGAGCTTCACCATCAGTCCATCACGCTTGACATCCACGCATCGCATCGCATCGCATCGCATGCATGCAGCTCCATCCTACCTCGACCGGAGTCTATATATCTACATCAACTCCCCCTTTCCCTCCGGCTTCAAATTCCTCCCTTCCCCGCTAAGCAATTCTCCTCCCTACTAGTCGCCTCTCGCCGTCTCAAACCGCCAACGGAACGGAACACGCACAAAAGATACCACGACCACCTCGACGGATCACCCAGTCCGAGATCCACACGGTGACACCGTGACAGCAGCATCCGTGGGTGGGGGTGAGAACCAAAAGAGAGCGGGCCGAGAGGAATTGATACACCGCAAATAAAACCGAGGCGGAGCCCAAATTTTATTTGGTGCTGAGGGAACAGAGCATCGACCGCTGCACGCACCCCCACCACTACGACGAGCGGAAAGCGGCGATCGCGGCGGCAAAGTGAAAAGCTTAAAAGAGGCGGCGCGTCACGTTGGGCGCCTCTCCTGCCTTCCCCTTTTCCCTTGATCGATGGCAGCGCAGCAGCAGGCCGCCTCCGTGCTGCAGAGCTTCCCGTTCAGGGCGGCCGTGATCACGCTCTGCGTCGCGCTGCTGCCGCTGCTCCCCGCACAGGCGCCCGACGTCGGGGCCGGGGGAGCCGGCCAGGCGTTCCTCGCCAAGGCGTGGGAGCTGCTGCACCTGCTGTTCGTTGGCATCGCCGTCTCGTACGGCCTCTTCAGCCGCAAGAACAGCGCCGACGATGATAGAGGCGCCGGGGCTGCCGCCGCTGCTGCAGCCGCAGGAGAGAAGGACGCTGCTGCCGCGGGGCCGGAACCTGCCAAGGCGGACGCGAGGTACGCGTGGCGGATGTTCAGGGACTCGGTCGCGCCGTTCGATGACGACGACGACGGCGGCGACGTGCTGGTGCCGGACAGCCCTCCCGGCGTCGGCGGCGGCGGCGGGGGTGGCAGGGCAAGCTCGTGGAGCGCGCTGCACCGGCCCGTGGAGCCCGTCGTCGTCGTATCCACTGGAGGCGGCGGGGTTCGGATCGGGCAGGCCGCGGACGCGCAGCCGCCGCTATCGCTGCCCGTCCGGACGCTGAAGCCGCAGCCGGCACAGGACGCCACCGCGGGGGATGTCGAGACGCCGCGCGCGCGGCCGCGTCGGAGCTCTCGGGACTCGGCGGCCGGCTGCGCCCGCGACGAGACCGTGCTCCCTTCGCCGATCCCGTGGCGGTCGCGCTCCGGGAGGCTCGACGCGCGCCGACCCGCGTCGCCGAGCCCGTCGCCGTCCCCCAAGAGGCTGTCCCCGACGTCGTCCTTGTCCAGGGAGACGCTGACCAAGGCCAGCGAGGAGGAGTACTACGCCAAGGCCAAGCGGAGGAGCCCGTACAGGTCATCTTCCATCTCCTCCTCACCGCCGGCGCCGCCTCCGCCTCCGCCTCCGTTCCTCGTCCACGGTTACCACCCGGCGACCGAGCGCCGGTCGGCGGCAGCTAAAAGCTTTAAGGAGGAGCTGCAGGACCACAGCATGAGAGGCCGAGGAGAAGATCACTACTCGCCGAAGACGAGCAGCGTCAGCATCTCGGCGTACAACAGCAGCAACTCCTCGCCAGCGAAGCCAAGAAGCTCTTTTGACGGCGGCTCCTCCTCGTCAGTTTCGGTTGGCAAGTCAGTGAGAACGTTAAGGGCAAGGGAGCCAGCAGCTTTTCAAGACCAAAGCCAAGAACTGCCTGACGACGCCGGTGTTGGTCGTGACGCGCTAGACGTGCACGGATCAGAGGAGCCGTACGGCTACAGAGCTTATCAATCCATTCCCAGGTTCCAGTACGAGAAATCAGGGAGCGACCCTATCCTGGGCGGTGTGGCAGTCTCCTCGGATGAGACCGAGAGCAGCGACGATGATGATGACCACGACGTCGGCGGCGGCGGGTACTCGACGAGGGAGTCCACGCCGGAGGTGGACGAGAACGAGGTGGACAAGAAGGCAGAGGAGTTCATCGCCAGGTTCAGGGAACAGATCAGGCGGCAGAGAATCGAGTCCATAAAGAAGTCCGCGGGGCCGCGCGGCGTCAAGCACCACGGCAAGTAGCTCGCCGGCCGGCTATATTTTACTGTAGTTTTAAGTAAAGTAGTTGGTGCCAGAGACGCTGCATATGATAGTTGCCAAGAACCACTTGTAAACATTCATGTAGGTGATGAATGCGAGTGTATTTTCATGCAAGCTGTAATTGCATTTTTCGTCTGAGATCGATCGACTTCTGCGATCAATGTCTTGGTCGTTTACAAGACCTCTTTAGCAGTTCCCAATAATTTCTCTCTAATATTATTTTTATCAATTTTTGGAGAGCTATTGCAGCAGTACCATGATATATATCTCCTTCAATACCCATACGTACGTAAGGTGGGTCTCGCAAGAGTTTAAGGCCTCAACGGGGATTTCAGGTCACTGTTCTCAAGACTCGTATGTGTTAGAAACATTGCAGACAAGTTTCATGAAACTTATTTCGTCTCATAAAACTTTTATTTTATATTTGTTCATCAATACTATCGCATCAGCTTATTTAATGCCTATGAAACTCTCATGAAACCCACATTGAGAGTGGCCTAAGAGAAAAGATGGCTGAAAAATGATAATTAGAGTGGTCCCTATGGTATTGGGAGAGTTGTATCTCTCCTTTTATTTGAGAGTAGCCGTGGGAAATATTGTTGACCAAAAAAAAGTGAGAGGTATTGGAGAACGGGTGGAGTAAGAAAAAACATAGTTGTCCTCAATTTGACAATTTTATGGGATAAAGGAAGATATTGAAAAACTACTAGAGATGCTTTAATATAAACATCTCAAATCGGTGTGATAAACGCAATGATCGAATTGGTGTCTAACTAGCCACTCTGCCGAACTAGAGAGTGGATTTTCCACATGTATCTGTGGCCACCGGCCTATCTTGGCCGTAGGAACATTCCCGACGTTACGATTCGTGACAAAAAAAAAGCACAAGGGCAAGGGTTAATATGGTTACAGGGTTTGTTGCTCCTGTCATTCAAAAGTGCAAGGGCAATACACGACAACGACACCAGAGCTTGGCAGCACTTGGTGTCGGCGCTCTCCTACTTTGAGTAGCAGCACTAGCCACGTCACGGACATCACGACGGCCGTAGCTGCGCACCACACCAGCCCAGACCCATTACTCGCCTACGAGGAGGAGGCACCCACCACGAGATGCCTCGACGGCGAGTATGTACACGAAGCCTACCATGGCATGGCGAGAAAGGCCATTGATGTGCTCGGGAGCACAACCACTAAACTCCAGAGCATCCCACAACCCGGGGCTTGTCGGCTTCGCCTTGGGCTCTGGCTTCACGGTGGTCGGTGGTGCTGCTGTGGTGGTCGGAGAAGAGGATGGGGAGGAGGTGGTGGCTGTTGTCGTCTCCTTGATTGGCTCAAGCTCAACGTCCTCGCTCTGGGCACTCACGACCAAGCTGCGCCGGCTTGGCGTGACAGCAGACTTCATGCCATACCAGGAAGGTCTGAAGGTGCTGCATTGCTGGCACGCTCGTCATTGCTTTGCTGGTGAAGGGAAGGGAGCTTATGGAGGTCTTCACTGTTGCAGCCATTGGAATGTAGTACATGTGCACAAGTGTTGTGGAGCGCAACGAGCGCCGATGGCTTTCTTGCTTTGCTTCACTTTTATCGCTGTTGTATGTTGCAAAGAAAGGAAGTAGAAAATAATTTGAGAAAGAAGATATTTCGATACCAAAATTACCCCTCACCTTTTCTTTGCGAGAAAAACTACCTCTCACATGCCAAAACCGAAAACATTTACTACCACACGGAAGGGAGTACATCTTTGGTGGGGTCGGTTGCTGGATTGATGACCACGGTAAATCAGGCGGCCACATATACATGCGGGACGCAAATTGGGTGACTTGCCTCAAGCAAGTCACAGCGTAACTTACGTGCATGTATCCATTGTCCAAACGCTATCGAACGGCACAGAAACAAAAGTGCCTCATCTGTTCAGTCCGACAGCCCTACGCTCAAGTTCCTCCCGCCACGCCGCCGCAAGACGAGTTGACATAGGCCTCCACGCCGCTGCTGGCCGAGTCGCCGCAGACCGACCTCCACGCCGCCGCAGGCCACTCACGCCACGCTGCAGCAGCACTGCTGCATTAGGACGTCGCCGCAGGGCTCCGCGCTACCGCAGGCCTCTCGCACCGTGCTGCAGTAGCACTTCAGCACAAGGCCATGCCGCTGCAGCACTCCCATGCGTGAAGGTGAAGCAGGATGATGAGCTCCAAAGCACAAGAATGCATTATATCCAAAAAACAAAAGCATTTGAAGATCACACCATTGTTAACTAGATCAAGCACAATTCGTAAACCGGATCAAGCACAATTCATATTTTTGTGCTCTGCTTCCAAAGTACAAGTCTAAAAGAGTCTAACAAATTTTAAATCATTGGAAACACATCAGATTTTGTGTGCTCAAACAACATTCCAGAGAGTCGGCAGCTTTATATATGCCAAATTGGGAAATTGGTAAGACAAGAACTTGTACCGAAGTTGAGCTTCCAGTTTTGGCCCTGCAATTTCAGATCAAGCAAAGTTCTGCCCCTGCTATTTTCTTGTCAAATTCTATCCCAAAGAATAGAATTTACTGCAAGTAACGATTGCCATTTTCAGACTTCTGTCCCTGCCATTTTCTTGTCAAATTCTATCCCAAAGAATCAATTTAGTACAAGTAATTAACAACATACGATTGCATATTTGCATTTGAGATCAAGCAAAACAGCTGTAACAATAAACAATAGATAGATCAAGCAAAATTGAATGGGGAGGGGTTCTATTCTGTACTGGATGCGAGGCAGGGAGACACCTCTTGGAAAGCAGGAAAGGCACTGAGGACCGGACGATGGCAGCCCGGGCTGGTGAAGCTGTGCTTGCGGAGGACGCACGTCGCCACAGTTCGCGGGAGACCTGCACGGCGCTCCTCGACGACGGTGTCCCACTATCCACCCTGAAAGCATCTAGGCCCCTAGGTGGGTTTCGGTGATTAATGACTACACAAGATTACCGTGACTAATGTGTGTTTTGCAGAGGCATTATAAGTTAGGTTATGGTAATGGTGATTGATTGGGTAATTATGGTTTTCATGCCCCTGTCGATGGAATTCATTTTGGTTTTCAAATGATGGATGACAAGGTTAAGGACGGACTAATTCTAAGTGTCGTTTGGCGTTGAGAGACACTTAGATTAGTTATAGAACTTTGCTTTTTCCTTTGACCGTACTATAAAGGGGGCATGGATGGGTAGATTGACCTAGACATGTCTAGTGAGAAGAATGCGGTGCACATTAGTTAAATCTAGCGCTAGGTAGCTCAGAGGAAGCCCAAGATCATCGGAAGTTGGAAACCGTTTCGAATATGGACTTGAAATCAAGGGTAGCGCTTGGGGGTGGCACCAAACATGGAGGTGTACACCGCCCCTGGTGTAGCGATGCACCGCCCAGGGGGCAGCGGTGCCACCGCCCTATTTCTCCCGAGGCTGCTGGTTTGGAAATTAGCTCTGACGATCACCGAACAGGGCACCGCCATTTATTTCCAAAGACAAGGTCTTTTCGGTGTTTTGCCTAGAGGGGCACCGGATAGGGCACCGCCCTAGGTGTGGCGGTGCCACAGCCGCTTTATTCCAGAGAGGAGGGAAACTGGGTCTTGGTCACCGCCCCTGGAGTGGCGGTGCCACCGCCCTACGGGTGGCGATGCCATCCTAGTAACGGCTAGTTGGAATATAGCCGTTGGAGTGGCATCGGACAGGGGTGGTGATGTGCCACCTTGCTGTCCGGTGACCCCGACTTTGCTGAGTTGGAGGGTAACGGCTAGTTTCTTGGTTTGGGCCTCTTTATACCCTTCCATCTCGTGCATTAAGGCTCTCTTGCCCATTTTTTCAGCTGAGGAAACCACTTGGTGTGCAAGGGAGAGCAAGAGCCTAGTAGGGTGATTGAGATTTGCTAATCCAAGATTAAGGACCTCATTAGTGCATAGAGAGTAGTAAGTGTGCATCTACTCTTCTCATTAGGCTTGGTTAGGTTAAGTGAGAGTTCGTGATTGTTACTCTTGGTGATCGCCATCACCTAGATGGCTCAATGGTGATTGGAAGCTTGGTGATCATTCGATGGAGCTTGTGGATGACCCCAGTCATGGTGTGAGTGGTTGTAGGCGATTCACCGCGACGGACTGTCGAAAAATCAGCCCGTAGAGAGCACTTGATCCTTGCGCGGATCAAGGGGGAGCTACACCCTTGCGCGGGTGCTCCAATGAGGACTAGTGGGGAGTGGCGACTCTCCGATACCTCGGAAAAACATCGCCGCGTTTCTCTACCTCTCTTTACTTTGAGCAATTCAATTCATGTCTTTACCTTCTTAGAATTACCATGCTAGAGTAGGATTGGAACCTAGGGTGCAAAACTTTTATGCGGTAAATCATAGCGAACACTTTTAGGCACAAGGGGTGAAATGGGCTATGTGTAGGGTTTAATTATTACAAGAAATTTGGAATTAGCCCAATTCAACTCTCTCTATTTGGCATCTTGATCCTTTCACGCCTGTCGCTGGGACGACGGTGGTGCTGCTTGGTGGTGTCGCGGCGTCGTGCGCAGGTCTCCTCTGCAGGCGTAGGTCGGCTCGACTCTCCTTCAGGCAGCGGGCGCAGGATGGCTAGAGTCCCCTCCAGGCAGCAGGTGGTGGGCGACGGCTGCAGTGCACGCTGCGTAGGTTTTCCCACGGGGTTGTGCTGTGGCCGTTGCCCGCCGCCCGCCGCCCGAAGGGGACTCCAGCCGTCCTGTACCCGTTGCCTGAAAGAGAGTCGAGACGACCTACGACTGGAGAGGAGACCTGTGCATGACGCCGCGACACCACCAAGCAGCGCCGCCGTCGTCCCAGAGACGTGAGGACGGCGGGACACCGTCATCGAGGAGCGTCGTGCAGGTCTCCCGCAAGCTGTGGCGACGTGCGTCCTCCGCAAGCACAGCTTCACTAGGCCGGGCTACCATCGTCCGGTCCTCGCTGCCTTTCCTGCTTTCCAAGAGGTGTCTCCCTAGAACCCCTCCCCATTCAATTTTGCTTGATCTATCTATTGTTTATTGTTACAGCTGTTTTGCTTGATCTCAAATGCAAATATGCAATCGTATGTTGTTAATTACTTGTACTATTTTGACAAGAAAATGGCAGGGACAGAAGTCTGAAAATGGCAATCGTTACTTGTAGTAAATTCTATTCTTTGGGGTAGAATTTGACAAGAAAATAGCAGGGGCAGAACTTTGCTTGATCTGAAATTGCAGGGCCAAAACTGGAAGCTCAACTTCGGTGCAAGTTCTTGTCTTACAAATTTCTCAATTTGGCATATATAAAGCTGCCGACTCTCTAGAATGTTGTTTGAGCACACAAAATCTGATGTGTTTCCAATGATTTAAAATTTGTTACTCTTCTGGACTTGTACTTTGGAAGCAGAGCACAAAAATATGAATTGTGCTTGATCCGGTTAACAATTGTGTGATCTTCAAATGCTTTTATTTATGTGGATATAATGCATTCTTGTGCTTTGGAGCTCATCATCCTGCTTCACCTTCACGCATGGGAGTGCTGCTGCGGCATGGCCTTGTGCTGAGTGCTACTGCAGCACGGTGCGAGAGGCTTGCGGCAGCGCGGAGCCCTGCGGTGACGTCCTGAGGCAGTAGTGCTGCTGTAGCATGGCGTGAGTGGCCTGTGGCGACTCGGCCAGCAGCGGCGTGGAGGCCTATGGCAACTCGTCCTACGGCGGCACGACGGGAGGAACTTGAGCGTAGGGCTGCCGGACTGAACAGATGAGGCACTTTTGTTTCTGTGCCGTCTGATAGCGTTTGGATGATGGATACAGGTACGTAAGTTCCGTTAGGTAAGTCACCCAATCTACGTCCTCTGAGTCCATACATGTGGGGTGTGCCTTTTCCGTCAAACTGCATTGACACTACTCTAAATTGCTTGCGTTGTTTTTGCAAATTACCTTAATTAAATGAAATCTTTCTCCAAGTTCCTATATGGCTATATGTATGTTTTTTTTTCCTTTGCTGTGAATTTTCTTCAATATTCTCCCCTGTCATCAGTATATATGGACCACAAAAAATCAGAACTGGACCGAGGCAAGAGGCGACCCACCTGTCAGTGATCTGGTAGCACGTCGCCCAGTCATATGGTGACGTGCGGGTTGCTGCTTGGTTCAGGCAGTTTCGACTTCTTCGGAGTTCGGAGAGGCGAGGCGTGGAGGGCTTGGGAGTTGGGAGGGGAGGAGGCGTGAGCGCGAGGAAAGTGAAGAGAGAGTACCTTCCGATCTCGATTACCCCGGTTGCTGAATCGAGAATCCAATTCGGTTCCATCCAGCGCCTCAGATCGGATTCCAACCCCCAATTCGGGCCGCTCGCTTTCCCCATACCGATCGGCTTTGGGGATTTTCTTTTCTGAGCGATTTTTCTGGGGCCCCGATCGGATCGGGCTGAGTTGAGTTGATCGCGGAGCATGCGAATCGAGGAGCTTCCGGGCGATCCGGGTGGAGGACGAGGTGGAGAGGGCGGGGAGGATGAGCTGCTGCTGCCGCGTCGCGAGGATGGCGACGCGGCGGAGGGCGAGAGTGGAGTGGTGATGCGGGTGGCCGTCGACGCGAAGCGCGCGGCGGTGGGTGTCGGCGCTCGGATGCTTTTCTATCCGACGCTTGTGTACAACGTCGTTAGGAATCGGTTCGAGGAGCACTTCCACTGGTGGGATCAGATCGATGAGGTCAGAAAATTTTCTTCTCCTTTTGGATCGATGTTGCTGTGATTGCTTTGGTATTCTGGTCGCCTTGTCCGATCTATTATTTGATTTGATTTCTTTGGGAATTTTGAGTGTCCTCTGTGTCGCCATCTAGCTCTATATCTTGAATGTGGCGGCTTGCGTCTGCAGTTCTGCAGATGGTGCGGCAGTTTGCAGTTATGATGTTTCGCATTAGTTTTTGTTTTCGTGCTTTGTGGCTTAGGGATTTTCTTAATTGATTTTGGAAGCACATGAATACATGATCGTGCAACGTTTTACAATGTTTGCCGACCTTCCATGTTTCAATTCGTTTAGAATTTTCTGATGATTCTGCTCTCATTGCTTTCAATGATTCAATCGTTTTTGGTGTATCAGCATGTCCTGCTGGGTGCTGTTCCATTCCCTAGCGATGTTCTCCGGCTAAAGGCGCTTGGAGTTTGTGGTGTGGTGACACTTAATGAATCGTACGAGAGGCTTGTTCCCACATCCCTCTACGAGGTTAGTATATCACAGCTGACCGATCGAGTGCATGTAATTGTATTGTTCTAACAGATTAGTTTTGCACAGGCACTTGTTTGTCGTATGTTGGTTCTTACTCCTTAGGTATGTGATCTGATGGTATATGATGTGTATAGTGAAAATATAAGCTGCAGATACGGGTGAATTGAAGAGGATAATGTGGGGGTACGACCCCGGATACCCACGGTACACCACATGGGCTGCGCCTATAGGGGCGGCTCAGCCCACAAGATTAAGCCTTGCGGGGCACGATGCTGCTCGGCGTCTCCCGCAAGACACCGGGAATATATCTTGAAGATACTACGAGATCTGTTAGGATACGTATGATCCCATGATTCCTATAATCTGTTATTACTTTTCGGTTATCTCTCATATCTAACCGACTTGTAACCCTACCCCTCAATCTATATAAGGCGGGCAGGCACCCCCTCCAAACACACGCAATATTATACGATAGCCAATACAATCCAACAGACCACAGGAGTAGGGTATTACGTCATACTGACGACCTGAACCTGTCTAACTCGTGTGTCTCTGTTGCCTTCTTGTTCTTAATTACACGTCTCTCTGCCGATCAATATACCTTCGTGGGATACCCCTCGGAGGACTACCGATGATATTCTGTCGACAGTTGGCGCTCCAGGTAGGGGTGTGCGTGCTGTTTCTATATCGAACAAGATGGTACGTTCCGTAGGCTCTTCGTCCCTCCCGCAGCCCGGCTAGATCTTCACGGTCGGATCGATCTCGTGGTTCATCAACGCTGACGGAGTCAGAGAGCTCATCGAGCCGGTGCAGATCGATTCTGCGCCGATCACCCCAACACCTGCGACTGCAGATCCGATCTCGGAACCGCCTCCAAGGTCGCCTTCATCGACAACTCGCCGCCCGCTTCCTCGCTACCAAAGAAGGCAGATCAACAACGACGATCTGATCGCATCCATCGATCAGGTTGGTCAAATGTTCGCGGATTGCCTCTCCATCGCCGAATCGGCTCTGGACACTCTCGTTCAGCGCCGACCAACCTCCGATCCAGATCTATCGGAGGCTGCTCGGGAAACTCCAGGGGTTATGGCCCTACCCTTCGGGTTTACCAATGTCGCCGCCACCTACCAAGATGCCCTAAGGCTAAGGGGTAAATTCGCCGACTAGGTTGGAGATGTCCATCCTCGCGCCGACCAAATCGCCGACCAGCCTCCGTCGGCTGTCAACATGCTGCACGTCGAGACAATTGCGATGGGTACCTGAGGAGGCGGATTTGTACAGTTGAAGGCCCTCGACGGCCTTAGTACGCTGAACGAGGCATTTGGAGCGAATAGCTCTGCGGCTCGCTCTAGCACATCGTTCCTCGCCAGCCTCCCCGTTCTCTCCTGGGTGCCGTCGTCGTCGCCCTTGAAGTCAAAGCCCGGGTGGGCCCTCTCCTTGCATGGCTGGACGCGACGCACTATGAAGCTCGCCGCCACCAGTCCGCCGTTAATCTCCACACCTTTTATCAAGGCGAGAGTTCCCTCACCGCTCCATGTCAAAGACTTTGCTTTCGTTTCTCCGACCACGACTCTTTTGGCTCTCCGGGATGTGGTCGACGTCGCAGCGGATTGCAGGTGGCTCTGCTTCATGTAGAACCACCTGGCGTTCCACCCCTTCAGAGAAGTATTCAGCGGTATATTGATGTACTCGCTCGCCATTCCGTCCCGGAGTTGTAGATATACGCCGCCGACCACCTTGGAACCACCGCCGCCCTTCTTCAACCAGAACAGGTTGAAGTGCGGAAGAACCCCCAGATACGCCTCGCAGAAATGGATAAAGATCAAGATGTGCAAGATGGTGTTTGGGTGGAGATTGTACAGACTAATTACCCAGAACTCCAACAGATCCCCCAGGAAAGGATGAACAGGAAATCCCAACCTACGTCAGAAATAATCCTCAAACACCACTACTTCATCAGTATGGGGCATTGGGAAGGGCTCACCGCTGGCTGGCCGCCACCCGGCGGTGACTTGGTCAGGAAGAACGCCCGCCTCCACCATCCTGTTGATCTCCGTCTCCCCCATCCTCGATGGCACCCATTCCTCGTCACGGCTGGCTACGGCGGCCGCCTTCTTCGGTTTCACAGCTCCCTTTTTCTACGCCATTTCTCAGATCTGATTTGGGATTGGTGGCGGAAGCACGTATGGATCTGGAAGCGTGACGACTGAGGAGGTGCGGCGTAGAAAAAGGTGGGAGCGCGGGGTGCGGCGACGCAGTTATAAAGCACTCCCCCCACCCTTTCGCATTCGAGGGTTTTTGGGGAACTGCTCCCACGATTGGCGCCTCTCCGAATTCTCTGCAATAGCAAGGTGGGCCGTTACCTGGGCTTTCGCGCAACCGCGGCCCGTATCGCCCATTTATCTCCGCAATTTGTTACGGCTCGCCGAATATTCGCCGACTTCTCCGCCAACCGTTACGGCTCAGTAATTACTACTGTACAACCACTACTCCGATATTTTCTCCGCGATTTGTTTTATTCAAGATTCCCTCTTGTGGCTCGGGGACTGCGTCAGCATTACGTCTCGGTTCCTCACCGCATTGGGGATTTTTCATCTGTTAACTACTGTTTTTGACCCTAGCACCACGTGACCACGTCACCTACTGTCAGGCTCGGGGACTAAGTGGACACACTTCACCTTGCGGTGAATGTGCTTTTTCTCATCTCGAGGCTACGCCCGGGGACTGGCTGCCTGCTCGGCTGGTCTTTTATTTTTCTTCTACTTTGGACCCTGGCACCACATGACTGCGTCATCTACTGTCAGGCTCGGGGACTAAGTGGGCACACTTCACCTCGCGGTGAGTGTGTTTGCTTTAATCTGGAAGACTCCGCACCTCTTGAAGTTGAAGAAGACTATCTCCCTTTCTCGTGGTCGGACTCTAAGTGGGCACACTTGGTCCACTGCGAAGAAATTTTCGATTCTGAACTTGAGCTCCTTACACCCTTATGGCAAGCCGTACTTGGGTTACATTGCTCGGCGACGGTTCACACTGCTCGGCAACGGCTCACGCTGCTCGGCGACGGTTCACGCTGCTCGGCAACTGCTCACAATTGCTCGGCAACTCATCACAGTGGTCGGACCATGAGTTTGACTGCTCGGCTTTGTTCGTACCTGCTTGGACAAGCTCAAGACGGCGTTGTGCAACGGATACAAGGCGCTCGGGGACTAGCTGTGGGGGGTACGACCCCGGATACCCACGGCAGACCACATGGGCTGCACCCCTAGGGGCGGCCTAGCCCACAAGATGAAGCCTTGCGGGGCACGACGCTGCTCGGCGTCTCCCGCAAGACACCGGGAAGATATCCTGAAGATACTACGAGATCTGTTAGGTTACGTATGATCCCATGATTCCTGTAATCTGTTATTACTTTCCGATTATCTCTCAGATCTAACCGACTTGTAACCCTACCCCCCGGACTATATAAGGCGGTCAGGGACCCCCTCCAAACATACGCAATATCATACGATAGCCAATACAATCCAACAGACCACAGGAGTAGGGTATTACGTCATACTGACGGCCTGAACCTGTCTAACTCGTGTGTCTCTGTTGCCTTCTTGTTCTTGATTACACGCCTCTCTGCCGATCAATCTACCTTCGTGGGATACCCCTCGGAGGACTGCCGACGATATTCTGTCGATAGATATGCTCCCACTAGTTTAACTTGAGAACATTGTAAATCAATTTGCCTAGAACAATGGTGTGGCAATGTATACGAAATATCAGGTGCGTCTGCGGCTTTGTTTGTCGTGAATACACCCATCAGATCCTGGGTTTGATCAATGCTTGAAGTTTTCATGAGTGATTTTAGTTTTTCCTGATTAGAATAGTGAATTGAGGTTGTTAGATGAACTGGTCTTGAAGTCTTAAACTACACTGGTCTTTGAGGTGGACTGATACCATATTATCTGTAGGCGGGCATTAGAGTTTCCTAACCTAGTGTAGTGGCTATGACAACAATAGTGCTCATGCAGCAACATTGTATTTTTTATTAATAAAAGGCTGCTGTATTGTCCTCCTTTTACCATTTTTCTACTGTATTCCTTTACATGTGTATAACTGCATTTGACGCGACATCAGATGTTGTATATAGGATGGTGATAATATTACTTCGTAAATGCGATGATATACGATGCATTGATCAATTCATGGTGCTATGTTAGTTACCTCTTGCATTTGTCTGTTGCAATCTTTTTGCTGATGCAGCAAGTAATTGAAATATATATCTGATTTTAGGCTCATGGAATCGAAAACCTGGTGCTACCAACAAGGGATTACCTTTATGCGCCTTCATTTGTTAACCTTTGCGAAGCTGCTGACTTCATCCACAGTAAGAATCTTCTCAGGATACATATCGATCTGTTACAGGATATGAAGGTCACAGTTTACACATGTCATATGACAACTCACCTTTGCTTGTTAGTGTGTTCTCAAGAATAAAGTAGTCCATTCGTTTCTATTTGCCTTTTACAAGTGGGTTGTTCTTTCTTATTTAATATTATAGGATTCTGAGAAAATACATCATTAAATCTTCCTAAATTTCCATATTGTATGGCTTGATGCTATGATGTACATGCTACTTAATAAACGTTTGAAGGTGCATGGCTTAGCAGTCAAATGAATTTGATGAGGTAGCAATAGACACTAGTTAATATTGGCATTAGTGCATCTTCTATTTTCCTTAGTTCTTAAAAAGAACTAGGAATGTACTTCTATGCATTGCATTGTAATTTTACGTCAATTTATGTCTGAAGCGTGTTAGTGATGTTTCTCTATGAAGTATGACTAGATAATAAACATGACTCTTCTTGGTACACACTTTGTAATTTGCTTTAGTTGAGTTTTTGTTCAAGTGCTCTCTTTTTTCTCGTAAATACCTGTATATTGCGAAACCTGCTTAGAGTCTATTTAATGGAAAAAGGACATAATACTACTTCATCACTCTGATTGTGTTCTCTCTCTCTCTCTCTCTCTCTCTCTCCCTTGTGCATTTCCTTTAGCATTTCCAATTTGGTGCATGGCTTAATTGTTCTGTTTTCAAAATTTTAATACTTGAAGGAAACGCTTCATGTGGGAAATTGACGTATGTGCACTGCAAAGCTGGACGAGGACGTAGCACTACGGTTGTCATTTGCTATTTGGTATGCCAAACAGTATTTGTTGTTCTTAATAATAAAGGTAAAGATATGCTTGCTTCCGTAATATGAGTAATGACGTTGCTTAACTATTCTCTTTAGGTGCAATATAAAAATATGACTCCTGCTGAAGCTTACGAACATGTCCGCTTGCGTCGGCCTAGGGTATTATTAGCTCCTGCACAGTGGCAAGTAAGTTACCACCAAATTTTACATGCTTCTGTATGCAATTATTTCAGTAGCCCCACCCTCACCCTCATCCTCAGTGTTGTAATCATAGAAGAAAAGGCTGTTATCAATTCAGAATTTAAAAGGAGAACCTGCCAGGTGTAATGTATCAGTTAAGCTCATTTTTAATTATTGTTCCTCTTGTTAAGATCTATTGTGTGCTAATTTAGGTATTCTTTGATGTTTCTTGGAAATTTAGTGGGCAAAGAACTTTTGTATGTTTTGATACAAACTCTCGTTTGGCCATCATTCTATTTGTCTGGTACAACACTGTCCTTGGTTATATATTAGGTGGGGAGGTCCTCAAGGCTTTGCTCAACTATTTATATTAAAATCAGTAGAAAATTTGGCTGCCTTGTTGTTTGGTTAATGAAGAGTCAAGTAACAATATTTGAGATAACTATGTGTCCTTGGCAAATTTCTGATGGAACTATGAAATAATGTCTGTCTCTGCTTAGTAGTTTAGATGACTGACTTATTGTTTGTCTTTTTGTTTGTTCAATATATGATCTGAAAGCCTTATTATTGGATAAACAGAAATATTAACTGATGTTGGCAATCTATTTTAAGTTCAGTTTTAGGGATTATATGTATATTGAAGTACTATTCGGTGTTGGTTCACTTGTTGTTTGTGGACCATTAAGTGGTGGGTGGGGTTGATTCATATTTTGACTGTTTTTTTTATGGTGATCTAACAGTGTACAGGGCCCCTACTTATGTGTTATCTTGTCTCTCTCCCTTTTTTTAGGCTGTGCAAGAGTTCTATCAACTAAGAGTGAAGAAAACTGGGAGATCTAGTCGCCTGGACAATGCTTTAATCAAGCCACCATTGTTCCTTGCCACTCACAACCTTGTTGCCTTTGACGATAGCGCATTTGTGTTGGTCTCAGAATCAGACCTCGAAGGGTATAATGCGGATGCACTGGCACTTAACATGGGCAGTGGATTGTGGGAGGTAAGCTTGATATACCGTGTCCAGTTTGCGAGCAAGGCAGCTTTTGCTGGGTTTTCGTATCTGTGGCTTCGATGTCGTGCCTGCAAGGAGGCTCTACCTGAGAATGTGGGGAGAGAGAGCTGCTCTCTTGAGGTTGAGCAGCTAACAACTGGTCATCCCTGTCTACTACAAGGTGTCGTGGTTAATCCATGACTGTCGAGTATGTGTTTTTGCCTTGCGCCTGTACATATTAAAGAGAAGGATATGCAATGTGAATCTGTAACGTGGGTCTGCAGCAACCAAAGAGTTAAGTTGCCCGGGTTTGTATATATGTCATGTAATAAGTTGACTTACGCTGTTAAATGGAAAAAACGGAACTCTTTCTGACCAAATGCCAACCTCATGCACTCTTTCCTTGTCTTGGGTTAGTGATGTATCTTTTTCCTCTTGCTTCACAAACTGGACTGCGAGGTTGTTATTTTTCTTTTTCTTTTTTCTTTTTAAAAGAGCTGTGCGTGCCATTGGTTGAAATTAGCATAATGATATTTGGAAGTAATTTGAGGTTCTCTTAAGAAACAAGTTAAAAATTGGTTTATATATTTTTTTCATTGAACCTGATGAACGAATGTATTTCTTCTCTTGATACTCTTTGTTCGGGCCAGTCCTATCCTTTCCCGTGTCTACCTGGCCATTTATTGATTACTCTCTGTAGTCATACATAAATGGTAAAGTTCATTGTATGTTATTAGAATATATGCTCGTCCCATGCATATCATTAAGGATTAAGTTCACTTTTGGCCCCTCAACTATTGTGTCGTCTAATTTTAACCCTCAATTATAAAATCATCTAGCATCGGTATCCTAACTGTCAAAACCGTTCACTTTTAGCACATGGGTGAGGGCAAGGCTGTTTTGACCGACGTTGAGCGGTTTTGACACGTAACCTCCATCTCAGTAACATGTGGGGCCCACGCGTCATCGACTCAATCCCTCCCTCTCCGTCCTCATGGCCATCGCTCGCCGGCAACCGGCCATGCCTGTGCGAAGCCGAAGACGCCGTTTGTACAATGGCCGATACGTTCGGCGACAAGGCCGCGCACCCGGAGAAGACGATCGCCGAGGCCTCCGCCGCGGCCACGGCCGCCTCCGCCACCGCGCCGACCACTTGTCCGCAGCGTCCGCACGAGGAGGCCGTCGAGGACCTGGTCGTCGTCGGCGTTGGCGTCGTGGAGCGGCTGGTAGCGTACATCCGGGCGCACGGGGAGGGGTGCTGGCGCTCGCTGCCCAAGGCGGCAGGGCTGCTGCGTTGCGGCAAGAGCTGTAGGCTACCGTGGACGAACTACCTCCACCCGGACCTCAAGCGCGGCAACTTCACCGACGACGAGGACGAGCTCATCATCCGCCTCCACATCCTCCTCGGCAACAGGTGAGCAGTCAGCGTGCGGCCGGCGCCGTGTCCTTCTGTCTACCCTGTGGCCGGGCGCTTCGTCCTTCGATTGATGATGTCTGACATGCTGCTCGCTCTTCTCTTTTACTACCCACAGGTGGTCTCTGATCGCCGGGCAGCTGCCGGGCCGGACGGACAACGAGATCAAGAACTACTGGAACACGCACATCAAGCGCAAGCTCCTGGCCCGCGGGATCGACCCGCCGACGCACCGTGCGCTCGGCGCCGACGCCGACGCGTCTCCCGGAGTCGCGGCGCACCACCGGGCGGCGGCGGCGTTGCTGCACCCCATCGTCGTCCCGGCCCCCGTCAAGTTCGCTGTGAAGCCGCCGGCGCCGGCGGAGTCGTCATCCGACGACGGCGGCAGCAGTAGCACCGGCAGCAGTGGCGGTGCGGGGGAGCCACGGTGCCCCGACCTGAACCTCGAACTGTCCGTGGGCCCGCCGGCGGCGGCGGCGGCCGACACGCCCACCACGCAGTCGCAGTAGCTGCTGTGCCTGTGCTACCACCTCGGCCTCTGCGCCGGGGAGGCAGCAGCTCGAGGTCCAGGTCGTCGTCATTGTCGGTGTTGTGGAGGGCCGCCGCGGCCCGCGGCATGGCCAGCAGGTCACCGAGCGCGGCCAGGATGGCGTCCAGGAGCGCGAGGCCGTGGCCGGAGGAGGAGGAGGCTCCGCGAGCGCCGCACCACGCCCTGAGCGCGTGGATGGTGCCGTGGAGGCGCGCGAGCGCCGGGTAGCACGGCTCACTCGCAGACCGCGCGTGTGCTGCCGCGGTCGGCGCCGCGGCCGCCTTTCTCGTCGGCGTCCAGGAGCGCGAGGCCGTGGCCGTGAGGATGGAAAGGGAGGGATTGAGTCGATGACGCGTGGGCCCCACATGTCACTGAGATGGAGGTTGCGTGTCAAAACCGCTTAACGTCGATCAAAACAGCCTTGCCCCCGCCCAGGTACTAAAAGTGAACGGTTTTAACAGTTGGGGTACCGGTACTAGACGGTTTTATAGTTGATGGTTAAAATTAGACCGACACAATAGTTAAGGGCCAAAAAGTGGACTTAATCCTATCATTAAAAGTTACAGGTTTTCTTCTTTGCCGTTGGTTTTAATTTTCTGTTCTCCTAAACGCCATTGCCATCTCACACAGGTTAGATAGCGGTTAATTGATAGCACAAAAGACAAATTTACCCACTAACATACTTTATGTTGCTTGCATTACATTCATGTAGTCCATTTTGTCTAGTTCCATTTGCTGCTGTTGTACATGATGACGGCATACCGTTCGAGCATCTGCCTATGGCTTAGCTAGCATGAGTTTCGAGTTTAATCCCTAAGTGTTAGGTCAGTCTCAATGAGGTTTTAGAAGAGTTTTATGAGCATTAAATAAGCTGACGTGATAAAATATAGATGAAAAGAGAGATGATGAAAATTTAATATGATGAAACTTATTTACACTGTTTCAAAACACATAAGAATTTTAAAAAATGGGATATGAAACTCTCATTAAGATTGACCTTGTTATGCGTTCCCTGCAGGATGATGCCACTGAAATGAGCGTGCCTGACTGACGCGAAGCAAATGGCAATGCCCAGCTAGTTATAGAATTCTTTGAGTGAGTCGCAATCGAATTGGGTGTCGTTGTCGATGGTGAGGTACATGGGGACGTAGCGGCATATAACTTAATGCTAGAAAAATTTCCTTAATGCTTGCGAGGATATTATTGCGAGTGCCTTCGCCTCAATCCACTTGGTGAAGTACTCTACTGCGACCACCGCGTATCTCAGGTTTCCTAGTGCAGTGGGGAGAGGCTCGACAAGGTCCATGGCCCATCTTTGGAGAGGTCAGGTTTGGCATAGAGAGTAGTAGGAGTGTATGGGCTGTTGGAATGCGCAGCTACAAGTTGGCAACCTTCGCAACTTTAGACTAAGGTAGCTGCGTCGGTGAGGGCGGTGGGCCAATACAAACCTTGCTTGAATGTCTTCCCTACGAGGGCCTTGGTGTAAGTGCAATCAAGCCCTAAGTGGGTTTTGGTGATGTTGATGACATAATTAAAGGACTAATGGCTTCTCTAAGTGTTTGACATTGTATCATTAGTTGTGGGTGCAAAGAACACAAAGCAGGAGACCCCCCAATTCAATTAGATGGCTTGCAACGGCTCAAAGAGCTAGTTTACTTTATTTTATATTTTGAAATTGAGTTATAGGACAAGCTGTTGAAAGCTCTAGTTTGGTTTTGGTGAATTGATGAAACCCTAAGTGCTAACCTAGTTTATCAAAGTGATCATGAGATAGGTAGCACATTTCAAGTGATGAAGCAAATGAAGATCATGACATGATGATGGTGATGCCATGGTGATGATCAAGTGCTTGGACTTGAAAAGAAGAAAGAGAAAACAAAAGGCTCAAGGCAAAGGTATAAGTGGTAGGAGCCATTTTGTTTCGGTGATCAAAACACTTAGCGAGTGTGATCACATTTAGGTTTGATAGCCGTACTATTAAGAGGGGTGAAACTCGTATCGAAATACGGTTATCAAAATGCCACTAGATGCTCTAACTCATTGCATATGCATTTAGGATCTAGTGGAGTGCTAACACCCTTGAAAATGTTTATGAAAATATGCTAACACATATGCACAAAGGTGATACACATTATGTTTAGCACTTGAGAGCAAGGGTAAGAAACTTCACCGGCGGAGTGCGGACGGTCCGACGGTGCCACCGACGCCCTGTACAGAAAAGACAGGGTTTCACAGAATGCACCGGACGCTGGTCTCAATTGGACCAGAGCGTCCGGTCAGTGGAAGGAGTAAAGATGTTGGCGTCGGTCTTCGACCGGACGCTGGCTGACTGCGTCCGGTCCCGCTGACGTGGCAGTGCACAGAGAAGACGGTGAGTGACCGGACGCTGGGCGAGTCCGGTTAGGCATGACCGGACGCGTCCGGTCGTGAATTTCCACCTCTAGAAGCTTACTAGAAGTGACCAGACGCTGGGGTCCTACGTCCGGTCTTGATCAACCGGACGCATCTGGTCGCGAGTGGAACCTTACTGGAAACGACCAAATGCTGGTGCTGGTGCGTCTGGTCACTTCGAGTAGCGCGCTCGGTCATAACTTAAGTGCACTGATGACCGTTGAGATCAGACGATCATCATTTGAAGCAGGGGCCACGTGGCGTGCATCGCGCAACTGGACGCTGGGGTCCTATGTCTGGTCGATCTGACCAGAGCATCCAGTCACCCCGAGCTATGCCCAGTGAAGGGGTACAACGGCTCTATTTCATATGGGCTTCTATTTAAGCCCCATGGCCGGCTCAAGCTCACGCTCTTGGCTATTTGCATTGACATAGCAACCTTGTGAGCTTAGCCAAAGCCCTCTCACTCATCTCCATCATTGATTCAACATCTTTGTGAGATTGGGAGTGAATCCAAGTGCATTGCTTGAGTGTTTGCATCTAGAGGCACTTGGTGTTCGTGTTTTGCTGTGGGATTCGCTTGTTACTCTTGGTGGTTGCCGCCACCTAGACGGCTTGGAGTAGTGAGGATCGTCGAGCGGAGGTTGGTGATTGTCTCCGGCTCCGATCGTGGTGATTGTGAGGGGTTCTTGACCTTTTCCTGGCGGAGAGCCAAAAGGTACTCTAGTAAATTGCTCGTGGCTTGTGTGATCCTCATCTTGTGTTGGTTGTGCGGCACCCTATTGAGGGTTTGGCGTGTGATGCCAATTAGCGCGTGAACCTCCAAGTGAGTGAATCGCCACAATGAGGACTAGCTTGCTGGCAAGCAAGTGAACCTCGGTAAAAAATCATTATGTCATCATTTGATTCCGAGGTGATTGGTCTTCATTGATATTGATTCTTATGATTGATTGGTTCATTCCTCGACTTGACGGTATAACTATCTTGCTCCCTCTCTTTACATTACATCAAACTAGTTGTCAAGCTCTTTAGTGTAGCTAGTCATGAGAGCTTGTTAGTTTGGTTAGTGTAGCTCTTTAGTTAGCTTTTGAAAGCACACTAACTTAGTGTAGTGACATAACTATTGTGTGGATAGAGACTATATAAACTAGAATTGTGGTAGATGGCTTGTATTTTTAGTAGACTAGCGTAACACTCGCTTCGCCTCATATTTGTCTAACCGGTTTGCTAAGTGTTGTTATAGAAATTTTTATAGGCTATTCACCCCCCTCTAGCCATTAGGACATTTCAGCTGTACTATCAAGGGGGATACTAATGGTGTACTGGGTGGAACCAAGTTCTCAAAACTCCATCTACATCTCAAATAATCCCAGCCATAAAAAGCCAGCCAAGCTGAAATCCTATCTGCTCTGGCCTGCGTAGAACCTCCATGGCACGGAACCTCCACGACCTAACGCGGAGGCTCCGGGGTCTGTCTGACCCGACCATTTTGTGGGTGACGGTAGGGGTATTTATACCTCACCCCTTCGCCCCCAATGGTCATCTTCAAATTCATTCACTCAGACTTGAACTGAAGCTCTCTCTCTCTCCAAGCTTAGTGCTCCCAACTCCCTTGCTCAAGATCTTCGTGATTCCTTGAGGGATTTGGCTCTAGAGAGTGTGAGAAAGCTCGGGAAGATCCTTCTCTGTTCTTGTGCACTTAGTGAAGCCCTAGCCGCTTGGTGTGTTCATTACTCTTGGAGCTTGGCTCCTAGATGACTAGCGGTCGCCCGGGAGCTCCCAATCCTTTGTGGCTGAGCACCGAGACGTTTGTATTACCCTCTGTGATTTAGTGGAACCATCCAATCTATTGCCTTGGTGATAGGTTGGAGAAGAGGAGCGAGTTGAAAGAGACTCCATTGCCTTTGTGGCTAACCTCAACAACGTGGATGTAGACAAGCCTTCGTGGCAAGTTGAACCACGGGATAAATCCTCGGGTCTCTTGTGATTGTGATTGTGATTGTTGTTGCTATTACTTGTGATTTGAATTGATTTTTAGGGTTTGCATCCGATCTATGAGTTCCTCATCTTCTAGGTGCAACCAACCGATTGGATAGCTCAACAAACTTCCCAGGAAGACTGGTATCACATTCGATCTATTTTTCATTCACTAAATTCTACAGTAGATCGATTTCATACTCTGATCCTGAAGGTTCCACGCTTAGCCCCAGAACCTCCACGCCCTGGAACCTCCACGCTCAAGCCTAGAGGTTCCGCGTTCTGACTGGTTTTATGAAGTTGGTTAAATTTTAGAAAAAGGCCTATTCACCCCCCTCTAGGCCACTTGCTAGATCCTTTCAGTTGGCATCAAAGCAAGGTTTCCTTGTGATAGCACTTAACCGTGTGAGGGAATGACAAGTCCTAGAGAAAGGGAACCGGAGGAAGATGGAGAGGAACTTTATGAAGATGTTCCAAGTGGAGAAGAACTAGAAGCTCCTGAGGATGATCCTGCAGTAGTGCTTGAGCGACTTCCAAAGCTCAAGCTTGGTGGGAAGGGATCCTCCAACGGAGACAAGCAAAGGGAAAAATACAAGAACAAGGAGAAGAAGA